TCTGTGGACCGGCTAGCTCGAGCTTTACCAGTTACTGCTGGCTTCTGTGCAGTTTTTGTTTTGACACTGTAGCACTGGCAGGCTACACAGTTTATAGAAGCTGCAGAAGCAGCAAGCTTGCTATAGCAGTTGGCAGAAGCTCTTCCAGGATCTCATGGTGCCCCCTTCTCAGGTGCTGGTTTGATGGCTAGTGCTTTGCAAATATGGTGCAGCCATTGGTAATGCCAGGAGTTAGCTCCTATCAGTACATATCTGTGGCATGAGTTCTTTGAAACTTGTCAGATAGGAAAGTTCTTCACAGCTGAACCTCAGCATATTCCATGGGTATTAATGGCTTTCTTAGATCACAGGGGTCTGTAACACTGTCGTACAAAAGTGCGCAGTGCTGCTTACCAGTTCTTTAGATCTGTCAGGTCTCTCAAGAAACAATGAATCCTTTCATTGAGGATATTCTCCATAGATTATAAGACTTATCGGGGCATTCTCCAGAGAATGGTTAGCAGTCCTTATCAAAGAACAATAACCAACTGTTTAGGAGACAGCTGGAGTACTGATTATTGATAGCAAACACCCATCAAAAAGGTCACAAGCATTAATTGAGGAATCTGTGGACTCCACTGATGGAAAGTTTACATTTCTGTTAGGAATACCAATGCTGACAGCAGATGGAGAAAGGCAGACATCCATAACAGACTGCCTCAACCACGCTGCTGGACTTGCCAGAGCAGCAAGCAACCTGGGCACAGCGTGGTTGTTCCGAGGCTCTGCATTGTTCACAGATGTTCTCATCAGCCCTCAGACATGCCTTCTAGAGGATGTGCTCAGGAGCGCGTTCCCACAGTCTTTCATCTCATGATTACTTGCCTGGAGGAAGAAGTTCTTCTGTTCCCCATCTGCTCAGACAGGCTCAAAGACTATGAAGGAAGAGACCCCAGGAACTCATTCTTTTTATCAAGCAACTCTTACAGCCAAGTCTAAGACATCAGCAGCCCCATTGTATGACAGATGCTCATGCCTCTGCTCATGCAGTTGTTGAAGAACTGCTCTGAGCAGCAGAAGAAAACAACCAGTCTGCTGTTGAGAAAGGCAGATGCTGTGGAGGAGTTACTTTCCTTCCCTTCAGTCAGTCACAGGCAGTGGAATGAGTGATGCCACAAAAAAGTACAGAGAACAGTGAGTGCTGGTTACTGTCTCACAGGAGCAGCTGAATAGCCAGATCCAAGTGCACAAAATGGGTTTTGTCCTCCAAAGTTGAGAACCTCAGGGAGGTTGGGAGGGAACATGGGATTTCTTGCTCCCGTTTATAACAGCATTGCCCCCATGTGGTTCCCAGAACCTTTGAAACACATCTCAGTCCTGGCAGATGCACAAACAGTACTGGCTTATGTGGGCACACAGTGAGGACAGTGCATCTCAGATGCAGCCCACGATGCACTCAGCATCTTCAGCAAGGAAGCCTGCCCTCCTCGCAGGCTGCCCAGAAATGATTTAGGACTTCTGTCAAGTGCTCCAGCAGCCTGAGGCTAAAGCTTTACAAGAGTTATGTAAAGGTACTCTTCCAGGGGGAAACCCTAAGGGCTGCATCTCCTTGGGTCTACTTCACAATGAGAATACCAGTTAATAATTTATGGGGGGAAAAAGCAATTTTTGTGTGCCATTCACACTAGTATTTTTAACACTGCTTTGGGCTTACTGCAGTACACATACTGGGGATTTTCTGATATGAGGTCAGTTGCACCCATGGACGCAGATCCCACGGAGAAGGAGAAGGGCTACTTGCACTTAGCTTTTACGGAATTATAAAAATCAAATTTATTCCAGCCTGTAAGCGCTTGGTGGGCCACAAACAACAAAAGAAGAACACGGGAGAAGGTTTGTTACAGGGCATTTTAAAAAGCACACATGCAGAGTCTAATAGCCACACCGTCCTGGAGCCAGTGGACTGAAACAGGCCAGCAGGATGCCAGCCGATTACAGCTGGGTACAGAGTAAACTGAAGCTCACAGTGATGACCCCAGGCCACCAAGCAGTGGCTAAGTTCACAAGACCATACTCTGATCTAAGACGGTCACGTCTGCAACTTTTACAAGTCTCCACACACAACAGTTTCACTACACCATACCATTTTCATGCTTAAAAGAATAAATCATCAGCTTTCCAAAACACCTTTCCCTGTGATTTCTACATAGCCAATACTTCCTACTTCCCCACAATAAATTTCAAACTTTACTAAAAATTCACAATGATTCATATGTCAATAACTATAAAAACATTTGTTAAATTTTTAATGTAACGTCTTAAAATAAAGCAAATCCCACCGAAAACATACACTCTGATAAAAGTGAAGAAATCAAAAGCAATAATTTAACATGGCAGAATATGCTTAACTTAGGAACATAACGAAGGTTAGTTTTGGGTGTTGGTTTGTTTTGGAGATGAAGTCTCGTCCTGTTGCTCAGTCTGGAGTGCAGTGGCACAATCTTGGCTCACCACAACCTCTGCATCCTGAGTTCAAGTAGTTCTCCTGCCTTAGCCTCCTGAATAGCTGGGATTACAGGCCCGCACCACCACACCCAGCTAATTTTTGTATTTTTAGTAGAGACGGGCTTTCATCATGTTAATCAGGCTGGTCTCGAACTCCTGACCTCGTGATCCACCCACCTCAGCCTCCCAAAGTGCTGGGATTACAGGGGTTAGCCACCGAGTCCAGCATCAAGGTTAGTTATAAGTAATTAACATTATGACTTATGAGATAAGAATAGTTTTCCTCATGGTCTTTCTAAGATATCAAATGATATTCTGTCCTTGGAGAGATATTTTCAGACACAATCACTATGTTAAAACAGCACTGGTCATTGAAAAGTTTTAATTAAAAGGAGTATCTTTATATACAAACATGTCCCCAGGCTAAGTGTGGTAACTCATGCCTATAATCCCAGCATTTTGGAAGGCTGGGGCAAGAGGATCACCTGAGGCCAGGAGTTCAAGACCAGCCTGGGCAAGAGTACAAGATCTCAGCTTTACAAAAAAAAAAAAAAAAGTTTTTCACTAGCCATGTGTGGTGGCACAGGCCTGCAGTCCCAGCTACTTGGGAGGTTGAGGCAGGAGGATTGCTTGAGGGCAGGAGTTCAAAGCTACAGTGAGCTATGATCCCACCACCGTACTCCAGCCTGGGCAGAGCACGACCCAGTCTCAAAAAAGAACACAAAAGTCCCCAGTGGTTTTCTCATCACCATAAATGTAATGGGAAATTATTAGAGCTGCATGCACTTGCTCAGTAGTCTACACGTGTATTGAATATATGCAAGTAGCCCAGAAATTACACCATTGTTAGTTACCAACTCTAGACACAGCACACCAAACAAGAACACCGTACAAGAGGTTTCTAGCAGTTCCACTTGGAATTCCCTGGCTAGCACTCGGCAAAGGGAGAACGCTGCTTCCGGCACATGCAGGCGAAGATCTGGAAGGAGCATCACAGGGCGACGCTCAACTGCCCGGTTTAAGGGCCATGACTATGTGGTGCTTTCAGGAAGGAGAAGGTCTGACATGGCTCCTCACACAGCGGCTGGCTGCCGTGTGAAAGCATCTCTGATTTAGCACAGTAACTAGAGACAGTGGCCTACAAAGCTCAGGTGGGCACTCACACACAGGCGGTAAATCTGCATCAGGTTATCAGGAACACATAACACCTGTAGCCTGGAAGGCCACCACACAGCTAATCAAAACACGTGGAAATGGCTCCTGTTTCTCCTTTCTTGTCCTGCTCAATACCAGGAAACTGCGGGAGAAACTGCTTAGATTCCAGCAACCAGGCTTTCACTTAAGGAAAAGAAGGCCAGACAGATCAAGGAGAAGAGCAGGACTAGTGTTGTGTGGTTTGAGAAAGAAGAACTTGACAATCATGTTACAAATGAGAAGTGTATTCTAGGAAAGATGTGTTCATAGAAATGGCAATGTTATTCCATGCTTCGTAGCAAGAATGCACTTGCTTCCCAAGACACCTGGAAAAGGTTTTTACAGGAACAGTTTTGCCAAAAAGACGGGAATCTATCTTTTTCAAGAAAGATGTAGTAAATTCCTGCTCCTATACAAAGAGCCAACTTGAGCACTGTGGGATGCTGAGAAATGAAAAGGCTGTATTCCCAGCCAGAAAGAGCTTATTACCTAGAAGAGACATCTGACTGCATCTGTGCACAATTCACATGAGAGAACGCAGGAATCCTAAACACTCTAAGTGCTGTGCGAGGCGGGACAAGGAAAAGCATCGCTCAGAGTGTGCCCACAAAGAGGAGCACTGAAGATGCCTGATGATGGAGCAATGACTATACTTCAGTGATGGCCAAGATTTGACAAACTAACAGAGGCAGAGGGAGAAGGAAAGCATCCTTGCTGCAGAAATGCAGGGACATCTAGAAACAGTAGGAATCCAGCTTCAGTACGATGTATACCAAGTTTGTGCCCAGAAGCACAGAGGGAGGGAGGACTGGAAATGCTGGCTGGACAGGTGACAGGATACTCAGGAGGCGAGAAATGGATCTGGGCATGTAACAGGAAAGGGTGAGGCGTGGAGGAGGGAGCTGTGCCGTGGGGCCCTTTGATGATGAAGAGGAAAGGACTAGTCAGACGTTACTAGAATCACATGGCTGGATGCCAGAAGCACCAAGGCTGAGAAGAACTGAAGCAAGGTGCTGGATCTGAGTGGGGAGGAGGAGCCTAAGCAGAGCAGGGAGAGAACAGTCAGACAGGCTTTCAAGCCCCGGCGAGGACTCAGGAGAAACTGAATACAGAAAAGAAGGCAGGTTAAGGGAAAGGGATCAGTTTAAGACATTTTATGGCTGTCATTCTTTTTAATTTTAAATACCAACCAACTACAGCTGGCTACAAAACATTTACCAAACACATCCTATCACCTTCAGAAGAAAAAAGAAGGGCATATTTCTTAAAAACCAACAGTATGCTGTCCCAAGTGTCTAAACTTTAAAGTCTAGCACAATTACCGGGTAGAAATGGTGATTTCTTCTTTATCATTTTTTTTTCTTTTTTATCTAGTTTCTCTGGGCTTTCCTGTTCTTTTTCTGGCTCTGCGTCCGTAGGGTCCGTCTGCTCATTTGAAACACTGGAAACATCTGGGTTTTGAACCTGTGCTGCAGAAGGCTTGGCGTGGCTGGAGTCATTTGGGTGTGCTGCAGCTGGAATTGAAGACAGCCCACTGTTTTCTAAGGCTTGCTAAGACAGAACAAAACTAAAAGGTTAGAAGGTACGATGGCCCAAATCTGCCTACCAAAATCAATCACAAAGATGTCATAAAGCTTTACCGATAGAATTCTAATTCCACTCCAAGAAATAAGAATCTACAATTCCAAGTCATCGCTTATAAGTGAGGCTTCCAACCCTTGGAGGCCATAATATCCCATCTGATGTCTGACAACTTGCCCCGCCCAAAAAATGATAAGCATTTACATTTCTAAATTGAAGGGAATTAAAACCTATTTGACTTTTAGAAATCTTACCTCACACCACTTTAGTTACCTCTAAATAGATTTGGGAATCCCTATTTTAAGACTCTTGAGTTACACTGGGTTTACCTTTAAGGTATGGGCTGTGGAATGACACCTTGAGACTCCCCACAGCCCTGGCTAGCCCTTCCCCATGAAAGTATAGGAGAAAGGTTACTGTAGCCAAGTAACAGAGAGGGGAGGAGAAGGAAGACCCCTCTCTTTAGAAGTGAAGCATGTGTGAAGTGGCGCTGGACTGGAAGGCTGGGAGTCCTGCGCTCCTGCCCCTGCTCCTGTCCTGCATATGCAGGCACTGCCCACATACCCACAAGAGAAAGCCAGGCAGTGTGAAGGCTTCAGAACCGTCAATACCCATGACTGCCTCCAAATCATACACCAGAACTCAAGAAGGAATAGAATACTTTTTCCACCTCTGTCAACACGAATAGATACAACTTCGGAAAAGTGTTGTTCTTTTCAAGTAAATTCACTTTCAAAAAAAAAGTTTGTGATTTTTAAAAAAATGTACAGATTAATAAGTCATTTGAGTGCTGCAGCATCCATAAGCAATTAAGTAGGCACATTAGGTTTTTGCGGTTCAGACACATTTTTCATGAGGATACCTTGACTCTGACCAGCCCTGCATATTTATTTCTCAATCATCGTTCCTGGTTTCTGACCCAGCATGAGCGCGTAAGCCTCACGCCGCAGGTAAGCGTGCTTCACCTGTAAAATGTCCTGGTTGATGCCCACTGTGATGCTCAGCTGCTGCCCGGGCTGCGGGGACTGACCCGACTCCACCGGCCCCGGCTCCGAGAGCTCCAGGAGCTGCTGGATGACGTCGCTCACCGCCTGGGAGCTCGGCTGGCCGGAGGCTGACGTGGCTTGGGCTTCCGTCTGTTGAAGAGGTAACGTCTGAAAGAGTGTGGCCTGAAACACAGAGACGTTTTCATTAAAAATGCAATCTTGTTCTTCAATTTAAAAAGAAAAAGAAAAAACAGGCAATACCCTCTTTAAGGGTGTTAAAATCTAACAGTATCCTAAACATAAATTTTAAATGCCTCACTGATTTTTGTCCCTGGCATGATATTGGCTCTTTAAAGCACATGATAAATTGTTGTAATGCAATTTTTAAAAGTTTTTCCAAGCGGGCAGTAGAGACTCAAGACGGCAGATTGAGCACACAAACGCTCACCTTCCTGTTGGCCCAATAAAATGAAGTGAGGAATTTAAAAATACTAAGTTATACAATTTTTAAAAGTAAGAAAGAAACCACTCCAGTCAAAATAATTCAACACATTTCTGAAAAATTTTTCCTGCAGGGAGATCGGAGGGAAAATGCTGTAATGCTCTAGCCAAGAAAACCTAAGTCAGAGGACAGGGCTGTGATGGGAGACGGAGCCAGTCCCATTCCTGCAGGGCTCAGGAATCTGAAGCGATGGATCCAGAAGACAGTGGATGGCAGGGAACCTACCCTGCATGACACTGTGAGGGTGGGACAGGACACTCCACATTCTGTCGAAACCCGTAGAATGGACAACTCAGAGAGTGAACCCTGATGGAAACTATGGACTTTGGTTCATAATAGTAATATATCCACATTCGTTCACCAGTTGTAACAAATGTACCCGGCCAATGCACCATGTCTGAAATAGGGAAACTGAGCATGGGAGAAGGAGAGTGTATGGCAGTCTCTGTACTTTCTGCCAAATTGTCTGTAAACCCAAAACTGCTCTAAAATTCAAGTCTATTGATTTAGAAAATAAGAACAAAAACAGAACAAAAAATATTAGGACTGAAAATGAATGCCCTTGTCACTCAGTGGCAGACAGGTACTTACTCTGAGGCAAAAAAAAAAAAAGGACTCTCTAAATATCATTTATCTCTAAAAAAGATAAAAAATAATAAATGACCTGGGAAGAACTAGGGCGCCTTTTGTGGCACTGAATTCCCCAGACTAAATGTAAGTTTTTTGTGTTGCCACCAGGGTCCCCTGAAGGGCTGGTTGCCTGGCCACTCACACTCAAGGTGACCCTGGATCAGCAAGCACCGTCCACATGTTAACAGTTGACACACAGGCTTCTGCTGCCCCTTCCTGAAACACAAGCAGGCAACGAAAGATGATGACATAGGCACAGGAGAGAGAAGGGGAGATGACCCCAGGGAAATAACTCAATGAGCACAAAAAACTTTTTAAAACAATATGCTTACTGGATTTCAGAGAGAGTGTATCAAACCAGAAAAAAAAGTCATGAAAAAGAAACAATCATATCTTTACAAGGTAGAGCTCTCAGAAATTAAAAATCTTACTGTAAAAAAAAAAATCAAAAGAGTCATAAGATAAAGCTAAGGAGACTTCTTCAGGCCACCCTCGGTGGCTCATGCCTGTAATCCCAGGGCTTTGGGAGTTTAAGGTGGGAGGATCTCTTGAGGCCAGGAGTTCGAGACCACCTTGGGCAACACAGTGAGACCTTGTCTTACAAAAAAATTTAAAAATGAGTCGAGCATGGTAGCATGCACCTATAATGCCAGGTACTCAGGAGGCTGAGACAGGAGGACTGCTTGAGCCCAGGAGTTGAAGGTTACAGTAAGCTATGATTATGCCACTGTACTCCAACCTGGGTGACAGAGAAAAAAACCTTAGGACTGAAAAAGGCCAAGAGTTAGAAAACATGAAAGGTAAAATAAAAGACATGTAGAGTCAATTCAGGCAGTTGAACACGGATTCTAGGCAGTCCTGAAAAAGAATAGATACACTTTAACTTGTAATGCTCTTCCCTGCCCAAGTAAGGGTGTAAGGTAAGAGAGATTCCGGGTTTCTAAATCCCTCTACTGCATTTCGTTTTGTTGAGAATGTAAGCGCTCACAACGATCTGGACTATTACTCCAGATCGCGCACTGCATCTACATTTTGATGTGCGTCCTGCCGGAGGAAATGATAAAAACTAATATTTGGTGGAGTTACACATTAAAAATTTTACTTAGGAAAATTCAGACCAGAATAGAATTTTGAAGACATAATTATTGGACTCTAATTATTCGCCAGCTTGATAATTCATTTTACAACAATCTACCTGGTCAAGAATAAACTGAGGAACCATCCTATACCGCAAATGTTAGGAAAAAAGAAAAGAAAAAACAAACACTGAAGGTAAACCTAATGTTTATAAACTAGGAATTAATTAGACTTCTCTTCCATATTGGTAAGAGGCAGCTGCTGACGTAACCCACCCAAGTAACCGCATTCATAAGCACACATTAAACTGCTCACACTTTTCTGTTGAATGTCTACTACTATGAAGATGCCATAGTTGATGCTTAGATTTGACCGTTTATTAATCTGTTGGGAGAATGGTGCAGTACAAGTAACTAACTGAGGCTGAGCTAAAGACCCTGACTGAGAAAATAAGAGTGTGTATGTCTGTGTGTGTGTGCACCTCTGTCTCTCTGTGTGTAGGCATATGTATTTAGTGTCATACAATTTTTAACTATGTGTACTGGAAAATATAACTTAGTTTCAAAAGTCCAAAGACTTGGGAAAAATTATCACTGTCACATGAGAAAAGACAAACATTATCTACAAAGGATAATTCCTAAATTATAAAGACTATTCAATAATCATCAATAACACTGCAGAAATGATCTTTCACAAATTAACGATTACATTTTGTCTTATTTTTACAGGTTCAGATGACAGTCCATAAAGTCATCTAATTATTATTCTCAAATTTCAAAAGACCAATTTTCATTCTTTAAAAAGTCGCACCTTATCTCCATGTAAAAAACTTTCGTAGCCCCTTTTTAGTACTACATATTCAATTGTAAAGGTCATATTTTAAATGATAGATTTTAGTTTAAAAAGAAGCTCTTCCAAAGTACTAGACTTACTGTTAACACATGAGCAGTCTCTGTAGAACTTGCTGAGTTCTGTGGCCCACCCATATGCATCTTGCTGATGTGCGTGTTTAAGCTGCCTAGACTTTTAAATACACAGCTACATTCCGTACAGTTGTAGGTAGGACCATTCTTAACCTTAAAGAATAAAACAGAAAAAATGATGTTTCACAATTAATTGTTAAATTAAAACATTTAAATTATAGCAAATTATAATTGACCATTCCATTCAAAACGACAGAAATAATCTAACCCTTCGAGATTACCTTTTTTCTTTTAAATTCGATAGTTCTAGAATCAATGACCCCACTCTGTAAACAATATTGCCAGTATAAGACGAACTGAAATTTCAGTCTTTTCTATAAAATAGAAATTATTCAAGAGCGAGAAAACACATTTTTCAATTATTGTAATTTAATAAAAACAAACTATCGGGCATAAGATGTTCTCAGTTTTTTAAACAGTTGAATATGATGTTCAATAGCGAATGCCGGTTATATATAAAACACATTACACCAAATATGCTTTCAGATGGCCAAAACCACAGAGGTTAGGAAAAACGGTCATAACGATACACGAATCTCTCATCACTTTTCATATTCCACATCAACAGCTAATTTCCTTTTTTCTTTTTTTTTTTGGTCGCCCAGGCTGGAGCGCAGTGGCACGATCTCAGCTCACTGCAACCTCCGCCTCCCAGGTTCAAGCAATTCTCCCGCCTCAGCCTCCCTAGTAGCTAGGATTACAGGCACCCACCACTGCGCCCAGCTACTTTTTGTATTTTAGTAGAGATGGGGTTTCGCCAGGCTGGTCTCGAACTCCTGACCTCAGGCGATCCACCTGCGTTGGCCTCCCAAAGTGCTGGGATTACAGGCGTGAGCCACCGCACCCAACCTAATAACTAATTTTTACAACTATTATAATTCCAGAAACTATAGAAACCAGTAAAATTAGTAAGAACAGCTATGAAAAGAGAAAATAAAATATTCTTTCTCTATGACTAAAAGCCAGTGTTTGTTACTGTAGAACTATGAAGGCTAGCTTGAAAACTCATTGGCCCCTCTGAACTTAAGTAAGACTTCCATTCTGTTTCTGGTGCCTTGTTAAGAACCAAATTTAGATTCCTCACAGGATTGTATAACATTTACAAACCAATCTTTAGAGGCTCTTTTTGGAACAACCCACCCCAGTACATCTCCCAGAGTACCTCTTAGTGGCAACAGGCAAGTCTCTGGGCCCCTTAGTAGAGGAGGAGTTTTCTGAACTTGCGAGGCTGCTCTAGGTTGCAGTGATGTACTTCCGGGCGCTACATAAATACACGATCCTTCCTACGCGATCATCTTCACCCAGGGGCAACTCCATACGGCTGAGTTACAACAGCCCAAACTGACTCTTCTGAAATCTAAAGGTAACCTCAGTACCTCACTAATTTCGGCATGCCTTCCTAATGTCTCCGGGTCTTAGATAATAAAAAGATTAACTCATTGAATAGGGAACTCAATCTGTTCATGAAACTACGTGAAGTGTGCAGGGTTTTTTCCGCATTTTAGATTCTCTCTTTTTCATTTTAGACATTCTTCTGCTCATCTAAGATCAAACACAGCTTCTACTAGTTTTTCTTAAACTTGGATAGTGGGTGTTAACTCTCAGTTCACTTCAGTGTTAGTTAAGGTATTACTCTAAGGAAAAAATTAAGGGATACACATTTACTCTTAAGAATATGATGGCTTTCATTCTGCAAAACTGTTTCACAGGATATATTGATTCGTGATAAAAGTATTTGTGTTGTTTAAATACTTCTTGGTATTCTACGATTAAAATATAAATCAATAAATCATGACAGTTAGTTAAAGCAGAGGTTTACTTGCAGAGGCTCTACACATCAGCACACTCTGTAGACAACAGAAAATTACCGTGGGAAATCATCACGTTAGCCGAGAGTTGACAAGCAGCATGGAAGGAAATGAACAGACCAGGTCTCTGTCCAAGAGGGAATGGACATGTCCCACATGAGCTCTGAGTATCAGCAGGAAGAAAAACACCTTTTTCCCAATTTTATTTCCTGATACTTGCCTGTGTTTCAAGTTTGCTAAAGGGATGAATACACTATTTAGAATGATGGACTATAACTAACGAAGGTATTAGAATTATTTTCAAATATTTCTTCACCAAAGCCATGCTGTCAGCAAGACAAAAACATAGTAGTTTATATTTCTTCCACAGGTAATAAACCAGAAAAATTTCCATGTATGTATTTTCTAAAACAGGGCCTGCTCAGCACAACATTCATCTGCATTTTTTTAAATGGAAAAGAATTTCTCGGGTCCATTTATTAACCCAAAAGCTACCTACTGTCCCCTGTGAAGTACTGCTTAAGCCCCAGCCCGTGTTTACCTCTGAGTGGACTCGCTGCACGTGCGACTGAAGATTCCCTTTCTGAGAGAAGGCGGCAGGACAGAAGGCACAGGCGTGGGGTTTTTCACCTGTGTGCTTGATCATGTGTGTCTGCAGCGCCCCCTTCTGGTTAAAAGCTTTTCCACATTCACTACATTTAAACGGCCTTTCACCTAGAGGGAGAAACACGATCAAAATATAATTCCATATTGTATGAACATCTTATGGATTAAAAAGAACAATATTGAAATTCCCCAAACCTATCCCTCCAGCCAAAATGTCTCCCTGGAACTCTAGACACATATACACAAGTGTCTACTTTAAATCTCAAAATTAAACTGCACTTGGGCATCTCCCAAACTGCTCCACCAGCAGGCTTCCCCAGGCAATGCCATCCTTCCAGGGGGTCAGACCAAAAACCCTGGAGTCATCCTTATCTTTAGTTTCTCTCCCATCTCACACTCAATAAAAACTTCGCAAGAGACCCAGAGCAGCCCAGCTTCTCATCCACAACCACCACCTCAGGTAAAGGCACTCCCCCATCACTCAGAGCTCCTGAAACCGCCCCCAGCTTGACTCACGGCTTCCACCTTGGCCCCTTCCCAGGCTGCTCTAAAGACAACAGACACAATGACCCTCTAAGTCCGAGCAAGTCACTCGTCTGCTGAAAACCCTCAATGGCTTTCAGTCCCCCACTGGGTAAAATCGAAGTTCTTCTAATACCCGGTAGAGGGGGTGCTGGTGCTGTGGTTCCCACACTCCTCTCTGTCTTCCGCTCCCCTACTCTCTCACCGCCTCTACCCACTCCTGCCACCACCCTCGGACACTCCAGGCAGGCTTCCACTTCTGGGCCTCTGGGCGGTTCTTCCCCGAGTATCCCCAAGACTTGCTCTCCTCAGATTCTTCAGGCCTTTGCTCAAAATCCCCTTTGCACTGAGGACTTTCCAGTCCATTCTATTTAACATTGAAATCTCCCGCATCCTCCCTGGGAAGCCCTGGCCCCCTTCTCTGCTTGATTTTTCTGCAGACTTCTCAGCATCTGACCCTTTACATTTTACTCATTGTCCATCTCCTCTCCCTAGAACGCACGCTTGTACACTGTGGCTCTTCAGCATCTAGAACAGGGCCTCACACACTAGCACGCAGTCCCCATCTGATGAATGAAGGAATGAGCAAACAGACAAAACTGGGTTAGGTTAGAGCCTAACTGCAAGGCTACTTATATTTCTAGTCTTACTAAATTTTCACCCCTTAAGAAATTGAAAGCTGCTGAGTTCACAATAACATCAGATCCCTGCTTCTCTAAACAGTTTAGGGTTAAATAAGTGAATGAAATATAACAAGCTTGGGGACGGTATACAAATGGGAAACATCCCTGCTTTAAAAGCCTGGGTGTGAAAGAGGAGGACAGGCAGGCAGGAGGCACGGCGAGAGTGTGGCCTGGTCACGGCACTGCCTGCGTGGGGACAGGAGAGGAGGACAGGCAGGCAGCAGTCATGGCGACAGTGTGGCCCGGTCATGGCACTGCCTGCTTGGGGACAGGAAAGGAGGGCAGGAGCATGGGAGGCACTGCGAGAGTGTGGCCCGGTCACAGCACTGCCCACCTGGAGACACCCTTCCTGTTCTAGGTGACGATGCTGCAATGTACACAGCCTCCTTTGGACAGGAGCCCTGCTGGGTCACACAGAGTCCAGGTGTGGGCCAGCAGGATTCTGGTCACCCTTCTCACATCACCACACACACTGTGAGGCACAGCCATACAAAGACCAAGCCCAGAACACAGAACTGCCTGAACGGCACACAGGTACTCCCTGCCACCTCCACGCGGGCCCACCGGCCTCCTGCTTAAACCACACTGGCCTGTGTGACTCCTGGGGATGAGACCTGCTGCTCTCTCCAGGCAGCTCACAGGCCAGTTGGAGCAAGAGTGACACATGCTTCAAGATCGATGGGGGAAGAGTATGCATCACAGAATCACAAAATCACACCTAAGTATATGATACTATACGCATGTGTCTCTCTAGGAGTGAGTGTGCTTCTGATGTATGTATATTTAGATACGCATAGAAAAAATCTAATAGGGGTAGATATCAAACTGTTAAAGGCAAATGACATCTGAGAAATGGACACGAAGGATTTGCTTTACTTTTTACTTTCTCTCTACTTTGGGTAAAGTTTATAACATTTTTAAACTATATTTTCATTGATTAAAACTTCAAAGACTATAAATTAAAGCTGAATACAGCATCATGTATTAGCATATTTACAAAAGCACTGTTTTGGTTTTCTCTTACTCTAGAAAATAAAAGCTGATGCTCTAAAAATACCCAGTTTATGCTGACATATAAACAAACATTGAAATCATCTGAATGACTCTACAATGCTCTACACAGAAATACTCACTAAAACTCTGAAGAAAAAAAAGCAGTGTAACAAAATAGAACTGGCTGACAAGAGCAGCCAAGCAAATAGCTGTGAGATTTCTTACTTTGTCACCAGAAAAGAAAACCAAATCAGAAATACAGAAAAAAACAAGATGACAAAACATGGATCATTTTAATTGCAAATCCCAAAAACTAAAAATATTTGTACAGTTTTCATTTTTCCTTCCCTAGAGATGTGTGTTACTAATATAATATTATTAGCAGGCTGCTTTTTATAAGACGACAAAGCGTATTCAGCTATGAATGCTGTTCTCACTTTCAAATATTCAAGCGAAACTAACAAATGAACAAGATAAGGCACGGAGAAATAAAGTTTTATTATTTCAATGTTTCACAGCTTAGTAAAGAAAAATCATAAAAGAATATGAAAATTCGGTGCTTTCTTGATTTTCTTTTGCTTGTTTTTATTTTTATTATTTTTCAGAGACAGGGTCTTCTTGCTCTGTTGCCCAGGCTGGAGTGCAGGGGCAAAATCATAGCTCACTGCAGCCTCAAACTCCCAGGTGCCAGCAACGCTCCCACCTCAGGGCTACAGGTGGGCGCTACCATGCCTGGCTATGTTTTTTACTTTTTGTAAAGACAGGATCTTGCTATGTTGCCCATGTTAGTCTTGAACTCCTGGCCTGAAGAGATCCCCTCACCTCAGCTTCCAAAAGTGCTGGGATTATGGACCTGAGCCACCACATCCAGTCTTGCTTTGTTAATTTAGATCTAACCAGCACAGTGTAGTATCTGACACAAAGCAACAGTAAATGAGGGAATCAATACCATACCAATAACAATAGCAGTAACATATCGACTCCCAATTATTACCAGCCTACCACGTATCAATCAATCACTTTTCAATGAGCACTACATATATTTTTAAATTTATAATTTAGGATAACTATATACAGATAAAAGAGCCACATTTTTCAAGTGAGGAAATAAAATCACACAAAAAGTAAATAACTTCAGCAAGATTACCCCGCAAATTATGGGAGAGCCAGGATCAGATTCCAAGTGGAGCTAGCACTAAGGCACCTGTTGTTCCCTTCAAGCGGCACAGCCAGTCACCAGAAGTCAGTGTTTCCATACCTGTGTGTATCCTAATGTGTCGCGTTAACTGGCTTGGCTTTTGAAATGTCTTCCCACAGTGCGGACATGAATACGTGAACCCACTTCTGTCGATGTTCCGGTTATAAGACCTTGTACTTGATACCCTAGTGCAAAAAGGGGGGCAAAATACAGTCAAGTTGTCTCTCTTGTACCTGTACCATAATTGCAAAATGAAAATCCTACCATAAAATTTGGCTGACTAGTCATCAGAACCTGTTTTAATGATAAATCGATCATATATATGCATGTGTGTGTCTGTGTGTATATGTGTTAGTTTTAAAAATCACAAACTTCCTTTTTCTCTATTTTTGATTAAAAAAATACTTGGTTTTTTTCCAGGTCAAAAAGTGAAATTGGGGTGGGGGAGCAAAACGTCTCTTCTAGACAAAGCTTTACCTGGATGGTCAGACACCAAGATGCTACGGGTATCATTTCCACACTGCCACCTGACTCACGCCATCTCCTCAGGCTCCTGCTTTAGTACCATCCACACACCAGTGATGGCCAAACTCCTACCTCCAGCAACTCTGCCTGGACCGCCAGCTCACTTGGCATTGCCTCATGGGTGGCGTCCCAAACAGAACTCTTCACTGATTCCCAACCCGCCCCTTTCCATGTCAAGACATGAAAGCTCCCAGTTGCACAAGTTTAAGTCTCAGGAGGCCCGCTGGATTTTTCCAGTCCATCTCCAAAAGCTGCTGCTCTTACTCTGAAACACCTCCAAATGTGGTCAGGACTCCACCCTCCAGCCGCCATCATGGCCTCCAAACAGGACTGGCCTCCAGTGCACTGCTTCCATAGCCTCCAAAAGGTCTCCCTGCTTTCCACTCCTGCTCACACACCCAGCCCAGTGCCACCCGTCTGGTCATGCTCTTCTCTTGCGAAAAACCCTCGAAGGGCTCCCATCCCACTGGTGGGAAATGCACAACCCCAGTCCCACTGGGGTAGGGGCTCCTCACCCCACCACCTTCCTGCTTTTCCAACCCCGGAGGCTCACTGCTTCCACCAACACACTCCTCAGCCTGAAAGGCACGTCACCTAAGGCTGCAGAGCTCCCTGCTCCTCACCCAAGTCTCCTTCCAAAAGCCCCACTCAGAAAGGCCCACACAGAACAGCCCCTCCCCAGCCTCCCTCAGCCTCACATTGCACAATTCCATCCAAGTGGCGTTCTTTCTCAGCACTTGCCACTACCTGAAACTGTGGTACTGACCAACTCACTCACTTACTCACTGCCTATCTTCCCCACTAAAGGGCAGTTCCGTGAAGGCGAGGCTTTGTCTGTCTGGTTTGCCCCTCAGTCTGGAAAGACCTAGAAACCAAGACTGTCTGAGTGCCGTAAGCACCAAAACATCTTCAATCATCTCTCTCAAAGCTTCAAGGAAACATCAGAAATGCCTGTGCAAAAGTCTCATCAGAATAAAAATCTGGAGTGTCTAGAGACCATGCATTACATTGCGGGGGTTAAAAATCACTGAAATTAACATCCAATTCGCTGGGGAAAAAAGAAAAAAAAATAATTTAAATCATAAAGCATTAGGTGCATACCACATTAGTGAACAAGAGGCAAAATGAAAGGAAAAGACAGGAGGCGGCTGATCATACAGAGATGTCCAAGCCACATTTCTCAAATGCAATGTCTAAGAGGACAAACATACATTAGAGTCTTCAGGCATTTTATAAACCAGATTGATCAACTGGTGTGGGACTTCTTCTTGTTAAGAAGTACAGATATTTCCTAAACATTGCAGCTTAGAAGGCTGGCAAGCTCAACTAATAATATAGTAGCTAAAATGGTAATCGGTACTGCCTTTTATTTTTATTTATTTATTTTTTTTTGGAGACGGAGTTTCACTCTGTCGCCCAGGCTGGAGCACAGTGGTTGAATCTCAACTCACTGCAACCTCCACCTCCTGAGTTCAAGCAATTCTCCTGCCTAAGCTCCAGAGTAGCTGGGGCTATAGGCATGTATGAGCCACCCCACCGGGCTAATTATTAATACAGGCGTGTATTACCCACCATACCCAGCTAAAACCTAGCCACCCTACCCAGCTAATTTTTGCATTTTTAATAGGGGCAGGGTTTTACCATGTTTGCTAGGCTGGTCCTGAACTCCTGACCTCAGGTGATCTGCCTGCCTCAGCCGCCCAAGGTGCTGGGATTACAGGTGTGAGCCACTGCGCCCAGCCTGATACTGTCTTTTAGAGTTTGTTAAAGAAATTTTCTAAATTAGTGTGAAAAGTGATTATCACCATTAGCCAACTTGAGCACAAGGGCCAGGAAGAATATTTAATTTTGCTTTATTAAGAAAAAAAAAATCAGTAAAAATATATTATCAAGAATTAGGTAAAATATAAAAATTTTTAAACATGTTAAGTTTGACTAGGAATAAATGTATTCAAATACAGTCAGATGTTAAGAGTATGAGCTCTAAAATCAAACTATTAGGGTTTAAATTTCAAACTCTTGACTTACAAGCTACAAAATCTCATGAAACTACGTGGTCCCTCTAATCTTGGTTTTTCTCGTCTGTAAAATGGGAACATAAAAGTACCCTGGTCTAGCAGCGTTGTCTGTGGTGATGAAATGAGGCTCTGTTGATAGACACGCTAAGAGCAGTGTCAGGCGCATAAACAGTTGGGTACTACAAACTAACACGTTAAAAGGGGTACTAATTAAACCCTTGTGAGCCTAGTTTACGTATTTTGTTACCTACCCATAAAAATGTACTGCCAGGACCCTGTTCTACAGCTTTTAACGTTATAATACCAGGTAACCCTTGTACCCACATAGCCTGACACGAGTCATTAATGTGTAGGGATGAACTGTGCATGCTCTGAAAGACATTCTGACACCACATTATCTGTGTGGCTCCACTTTGCTGTGTTCTTGCAGCACAAATTTCTAATGGGTCATAGCAAAGTGAGCCGACTTCTAACATATGAGACGGATTTTTTACCAAGCCCAAGTAATGACTCATACCTAATTTTGTAATGCGTCTTCATGTGTTCCTTCAGCTCCGAGGAAGTCTCAAACTCTTTCTTGCAGGCCTTGCAGGCATGCTGCCGGGTTCCAGCCAGCTCCTGGCGGTGCTCCTCCATGTGCACGGCCAGCTGACTCTGCAGAGTGAACTCATCCCCGCACTCAGAACAGATAAGATTCTGGAACAGAAAACCCACCAGTGAGCAGAGCAAACCTTTCAAAACCACGCCTTCTTCAAAGAACTGGTAATGCACAAATTACGTGAGAACTACTTGTTCTCTCCAATCTTGGTTTTGATCTAATTAATACTCTCCTCTAAAACAAGCATCGCTTTTACCTCTCAAAAATATATTTGAATATACAAAAACCATTTCTTTATTAGAAGAAAAAGATGGAAATGCTGGGAAAAGGGTCAGAGATCAACACCATTTTGGAGCAAAGTGAGTTCTGTTGGAACTGGTGTTGGGTAACTGGCACTGGGTCCGCCTGTGCTGTGAGCACTTTAGAGAAGCAGAATGACCGCAACACTACAGAGAGTCAGGAAAGAATTTAAAGTACGGTTATGGTTTAAGAGGCAACCTTGAAACAAAATGATGGATTTAAGTTTTTAACAGCTACATGGCATCATTCTCTCATCTGCTTTACAAGCAGAGCAGAGCGCAGGCTGTGGCCTGGCCTACTGCCCTCATGAACCAGCGACTCTCTGAGCCGAGGCACGGGGTCACTGCAGAACACACACACACACAGGAGTCCAAAGACTCAGAGCAAAACACAGGAATGTAAAATAGCTCAGTACTCTTTCATATCTGAGTTCATAATATCTTGGACATATTTTAATAAATACATTAAAAATTATTTCACCTGTTTGGGGTTTTCTTTCAAAAATGTGGCTTCTAGAAAATTTAAAAGTACTCATGTTTCACTTAGACGATTCTGGTCTACATGTTCTACAGCTGGGTCTAGGTTCACCTTAAGGCTGCCATTCACTAGCTAACCTGCCAGTTTGGGTGTGCTGCCCACCCTAAGCCTATGAAACACGAATAACAGCAACACCTGCCCTCCCAGAGCTGTTAGAAGGTTAGATAAAATGACAAGTGTGAGACGCTGACTGTGTGTGGCCTAGAGTGAGTCCTCAGTAATTACTTCATTGGTAGCCATGGCTGACTTAGCACAAACTTCAGTTAATTCACTCCCTTGGAGTCCCATAACACAATCACAGTATTTACTTAAATGAACTGCCCAAACATGAAAAAACGTATAACCTGCCAATGAGCATAAACTATTTCCAAATAATGAGATACACTGACTTTTTTCTATCAGACTGTCTTCTAATCTGCACATACTAGTTTGTAAATAAATGTACGTAAACCTCATTAAATCAGGTTGTTTATTGAAACTACCTCTAGCTACACTGCAGAAAAAGACAAGGAAAAGTGAAATATTTTGAGAAATCCAAAAATCATTTAAATAACTTTAAACTAGTATCACTGTGTAATAATTTAAGGAAATAACATACTACTAGATTTTAGTGACTTGCTGAAAAAATTTGTTCTCGGAAACTCCCCCCGCCCCCACAAAAAAAATCATAATTTGACGCATCTCTTAAAAAAAAACCTCTGCAGTCCTGAATGCGTATAGCAAAAGAAAGTGCGCTGCTTTCACCAACACTGATTCCCCACTACCCTCCTGTCTCAAAATTACATCACGAAACCCCTCGCAAAACCCCCACTCCTCTCCATACTGTTTCTGCCCTGGCTCACACCTAATCTTTTTTCACTTACTCTTTTACCAAATGATTTGATTCATGTATTTCAGGGATATCTACATGGATATTGCTCAGGCATCTGTTGGATCTGTCTGAGTGACAACCCAGTTTATGCACAACATGCTCAGATGGTGCGAGCAGGACCCAGCACCTCCCAGGCCACAGCCAAGACCTGCCTCCTTACAGAAGGCTCCATCGCTATCTCTCTGCTTTCTCTCCTGCAAGCCATAAAGAGCCCAGACGCTCCTCCCTGGCCTTGCCTGCCCTAATACTTGTGGAAACCTTCCACAAGGAAAACAGCATCTCATGCATAGTCACAGGCACTAGGACAACAGACCTTCCACTTACGTCTCTCACCTAGAAGCAGAGGCTGCCAGGGTGGGAGAGAAGCAAGAAAAATGCATGGCACTTTAACCTGTCTCCACCTTGCTGAAGATATGATCATCTCTAGGAGGCCAGCTTTAGGTACTGACTGCCTTCAGGCTGCTCTCCTATCCACTCCCCACCTTAGGATGGCAGCATGTGTTCACCAGGACTCCATGTGTTGGAATTTTCCCTTTCTCAGAATCCCTCCATAATCCCCACCACATCATCATCCTCTCTCCAGTCTGACCTCAGGAGCCATGCTTCTTTTCCTAATGCCAGGTGCCTCGGCTGACCTCAGGCACTGCTGGACACACACAATAAACCTAGCACCCACCCCACACACAAAATGCTGCTCTTCTCTCAAGACTTATGGAACCTGGTCCATCACTACTCATTTGCACATGCTGCTGAGATGATCAGTAAATGTGAACAATGTCTTCCGTGAGCTTGTTTGTGGGTGTGCACATATTGTTTCTCCAAACATTCTGTAACACCCTTCAATGGAAGTGATTTACTCAAGAACTAATGTGAACCTCAATAATTAGGTGACTGTGAAGAAAAATTCCTAAGTGATTTAAAAACTACAGTTTTTCTGGTTTACTCTTCTGGGTTTGAGATTTATTTGGACAGAGCAGTGACCAGTATGAATTTCAGACTATCAGTCTCAATAGAGCAATAACTAAAAATTAGATTTCAGTTTTCTGAAAGTAAAAACTTAAAAACGGAACACCTTAAACTAGAAAGTTCATTATAGTTTCTAAGCACATGTAAGAAGACATGTTTACAGGCTATGTCTTAAACCAATTTTCCCGAGGCATACTTTACATATAAAAAATCCACCCATTTTAAGCGTAACTTTTTACCACTCCAATCCAGTGTTGATGATTTCAGAGTTTAACCCTTTGAAAGCAATTTTAGTCCTATTTCCGAGGTTTCAGAGGACCCTGCACTGGTGCCCCCAATACTGTCTACATCCAACAAATTGCTGGGTGCTTCACTGACGTTCATTTCACCTCGTCTTCAGCCTCACTGAAGGAGCCACAGCCGCTCCCGAGACCTCAATGTACTTGCACTTTCTACCAAACTAAGCAGCTTGCTTCAGAAGGCTTTTTTTTTTTTTTTTTTTCCTCAGGCTGGTCTTGAACTCCTGGATTTCTTTTTTCTTTTTTTTTTTTTGAAAGAAAGAAAAAAAAAGGAGTGAAGGAGAGGAAGAAAAAGAGGGAGAGAGAACGGGAATGTAGGTTTATTCTAAAAATGGGTATTAATAATGGCCGATCAATATTTTGTGTATTTAAGGTGGAAAATATATATTTTGTGTATTTAAAATGGAGAGCTCTATAAATATTTATTGAGTTTACTTGTTCCGGATCTGAGTTCAAGTCCTGGATATCCTTATTAATTTTCTGTCTCGTTGAGTCTAAATCTCTTTATGAGTCTTATGTATCTGGGTGTTAGGATCGTTAGCTCTTATTGTTGCATTGATCCTTTTACCACTATATCTTTGTTGCTTTGAAATCTATTTTATCAGATGCAAGAATCGCAACTCCTGCTTTTTATTTATTTATTTATTTTTGCTCTCCATTTGGTTGGTAGATCTTTCTCCAACCCTTTGTTTTAAGTCTTTGTGTATCTTTGGGTGTGAAATGGGTCTGGATGTAGCATACTGTTAGGTTTTGGCTGTATCTTTTGATTGGGGGATTTAGTCAACTTAAATTTAGGCTTACTGCCATTTGATGTTAACTGGCTATTTTATCCATTCGTTGATGTAAATTCTTCTTTATGTTGATGCTCTTTACTTTTTGGTATATTTTTAGAAAGGCTAACACTGGTTGTATTAGCCTTTCTCAGAAGAAAGGCTATCTTTCTAAGAATCTCAAAATCTTGGATTTCTCAGAAGGCTCTCTAATGTCCTCTAAGTGGTGAAGAGTTTAAAAAGCAATGATCAACAGCTGTCACTAGTTGAATTCTCTATCTGCCAGGAACCATGCAGGGCCATTTTATGTTTGCAGTAAGTTTTTTGGAGACAATGTATTGTTAAATCATATGAGGAATTTTTTTTCTTGAGATGGAGTTTCACTCTTGTTGCCCACGCTAAAGTACAATGGTGTGGTCTCAGCTTGCTGCACCCTCCGCCTTGCAGGTGCAAGCAATTCTCCTGCCTCAGCCTCTGGACAGCCTCTGCCAGTACACCTGGCTAATTTTTGTATTTTTAGTAGATACAGGGTTTCACCATGTTGGCCAGGCTGGTCTCAAACCCCCGACCCGAGGTGATCCGCCCACCTTGGCCTCCCAAAGTGCTGGGATTGCAGGCATGAGCCACAGCACCCAGCCTCCTTTCCTCTGCTTCTCTTCTTGCCTTCCTTTATTACTTTTTGAAATTTCTTAGAATTCATTTTATTAGTAGTATTTTTGAGTACATTGCTTTGTTTTGTAGCCAGGCACAGTGGCTCACATATGTAATCCCAGGACTGTGGAGGCAGAGGTGGGAGGATCGCTTGAGCTCAGGTTTAGTTTTCAAATGTTTGATTATGATATGTCTTAGTGCGTATTTCTTTTGGAATTCTGAAATCTGTAAGTTATGGCTTTTACCAAGTCTGGGTCATTTTCATCCATTATTTCTTCAAATATATTTCCAGCCCCACACTCTTTCTCCTATCCTTCTGTGATGAACAGGATGCAAATGTAGAATTTTCTGTTATTGTCCCAAAGTTCCTTGAGGCATTACTAATTTTTTTTGTCTACTTTTTCTCTGTTGCTCAGCCTAAGTCACTCCTGCTGATCTGTCTTCAGGTTCTCCTCTGTCCTCTCTGGTCCGTCACTGAGCCCTTCCACTGAGTTCTTGAGTTCAATCACTGGATTTTTCAGTTCGGTAATTTCCCTTTGGTTCTTTCTTCTATCTTCTATTTCTTTCTTCTATTTTTTCGTTTGTTTCAAAACTCACACAGCATTTTCTTGACAGCTGTTTTGAAGTACTCATCAGCTAATTCCAATGTCCGGGCCTCTGCATGGTGGTATTGCTCTTTCCTTCCTCCAGCAGGGCCTCTGCTG